TGTGCGCGTACAGGCTGATTCAAAGTCGCAGGGATTGGTAGGGGATGATGAAGAATACGTATACAGATTTCAGGTAAAAAAAAGACGCGCGAGATATGAATTTTCACATTCTTGTAAACGTTTAAATTTAAAAAGTGGAGCCTAGGTAATTAAAGAAAATCAATTCGATCCGTTAAAGGATCCATTGAGTGTTATATTTTATTATTATTATTATAGACAGGAGTATTATATTTTAATTTACTTTGTTATCATTATATACAGGAATATTAGGTTTGCACTTTATTACAAGATAGAAGTATTACATTTTATTATTTAATTTTTATTATTTCTTTAGATAGAAGTATTACATTTTATCGTCATACTTTGTTACTGTATTATCATACCAGTATTAGTATCCGCACCGTGGAAAACTAACCGTAACGTTGGCGAAACTCGAGTTTCTCAAAACAATATTATACGAATAAAAAGAAAGATTTGTCGTCTCTCCAGTTGCAAACAAAAAGATTTCCCTCGTACCGTCCCCCACCTACCAGCTCATCGATTGACCTACGTTTCTGAAACAACTTCTACATCAAGAGGGTAGAAAGACAGAGCGAGAGAGAGAGAGAGAGAAAAGGGAAGAAGACATCAGGAAAGGAAAGGAAAGGAAAGGAAAGGAAAGGGTAGGGTGGCGGCAGAGAGAGCGGTTGCACGAGATAATGAGAGAACCGAGGGTGAAACAAAATGAAGCGATCTAGTATGGGCGGGTCGTAGGAACAGTAATACGAACAGGGTGTACCGTGTTGAGTAAGGCGAGTTAGGGCATACAAACCGCTGTGTAACGTATCAAATCGAGTGCTGAATCCCGGATTAAATCGGCACCCGGCAACGAAACACGGTGGGGTGAAAAGTGGTGGTGAGGGGGAGGGAGGGAGCGAACGACATATCCCGTGGAACGCCCGGCGAAGACGAGGAAATCCACGTAGGTACAATTTTGACTAACGCTAACGTTCGCGTGAATGGGAGACACGAACGGGCCCGAGAACCGTTCCCCGTTTAATTTTATTCGCTGTAAACGCCCGTCGGAGAAACGTGATACCTTCGCCGAGCGAGGTAGTCTGTTGCGTGAGGAAACATGGCTTTTGGCTTTCATCGGGTCCATTCCGCTTTTCAAAAATTCTCTCTTCATCCGTGTTTCAAATGTTCGTCAACATGGAACATGCCAAATTTGAACAGTTGGGCACGACGTGGCGTCGATATGCGATTAGACAGTTTGAATTTCATTTTATAGAAGAAATAAGCGGCGAATTACTCGAAAGTACCATTTAGTATCATTCTAAAGAACAGAATTTGAACCAATTATTAAGAGATACATTTCTGTCGTCTTTTATGCTCAATCCACGTACTCTTGCGCCTTTAAATTTTCGTGATAAATGGAAAAATCTGTGGTACAATTATTGGCATCGTGTAACAAACGTTTGTGACGTCTGCGAAGGGCTTATTGAGAAAATTCGTGTTCTAATATCGTATTCATATAATAAGTTTCTGCCTGAGCGCGGGGAATGAGAGAGCGGAGAGAGTGGAAATAAAGCCGGAATTCTTCAATTTGCGAAACTAATGCAGTAAGTTAAGGGCGGTTAGGGTGTCCGAGTATCGAAGGGGAAATCCCCCAGTTATGTTCGGTAACAAAGTCAGCCGGTGCTTCAATATTGTCGTAATCGCCGTTATTATTGCACTGTCAATCATGCGTTGTTCTACGAGCGGTGAAATATTGCTCTTTCAAATTATTGCGGTAAGAGTCCATTATCACCAAAAATCACACGTCACGATCCTAATTAGAGTGTGACCCACCGATCACAATCAGATCGTAACGTGTCATACAGTCCAGTAATAATTCTCGAATATAATCATCGTTGTAATCATCGTTGCAGCAGAATTTAAACTTCAGTGAAAATCATTGTACAAATTCTCCTAATTGTAAACTTTTTGCAAAATAACATCATCTCTCCCCCCCCCCTCCACCCCACGTTAGAACACAACAATCAAATTTTTACCGATCACGTCTCTATCACTGTTATTACTCCAACAACTCTCGAAACAAAGGAATAAACGACAAATATTACTTGGCAATCTCAAGAGGAGTGATACGGAGCACGTCCGGACGAAACTAAGTTTAAATTGCGTTAAAAACGACAGGGTGCATCGAAGATGACCCAATAAAAAAGGAAAAGAACACCGTCGGTTTACATCCCCCTTCCGAATACAATTCGCTTACAATCCTCCCTTCTCTATTTATCATCCGACTACTCATCTGCTGACTTGTTATTAAATTAATCCTTCGTTTAGTCAAATTGATGCATTGATATCATAGAGCACTCATAACTCACGGCACCCTTTCCGCCACGATTAGTACACGCGCGCAGCCGTTTTCACGCGCGACCCCTGATTCAACCGTGGCGAGGGAGAGACGCGGGGCGGGAGGGGGAGGGACAACTCTACTCTCTGCAATTCCCTATTTGCGCCGATGCAGACTCCACTATTTATTAACATCATTACTTATCATTTCAACCACTCGTGCATCACGATGACGTCACGCCGAGGTAAATGCATCGCGATTGGCGGACCACGCGGCGCGAGCGTTGCTCAATGGTCACCAGCTAGACTCCTTGGGTCGATGATCAACGAGGACGATTTCTTTTCTGATCAGCGCTTTCTGAACTTATCGCGGAAAGAACGTAGGAAATGGCCATCGACTTTCGGCGTTCCGGGCCGACGATTTTCCATCGCCGGCTATCACATCGCTATTATTTGAAATATTGGATAACCAAAGACGTATTCTTCTTTTTCTTTTTCTTTTTTTTTTTTTTTTTTGCAAGGTTAGCAGAGGAAGACGCATATCGAGATCTTATTTCGGTACGAACGATCAAAACAAGATCGCGCGCGGTTGAACGCATTCACAATTCACGCAATTGTCATTCATTAAAAGCGCAGATATTAAAAAGGGAAGCCTGCGCCGAAAATACGTATCCGCGCCACTTTGCATATTATGTGATTTTCGAATTTCTGCCGGCTTGAATATTCATGCGTTCGCATTACTGGTTAATAATAAACCTCGCTCGGCCGCCGCGAGCAACAGCAGGAAAAAAGGGGGGCACGAAAGAGACATGAGAATTAATTTCTCCGAGACCTGTAATAACAGAAATCTCGCGCGGCGAAATAGATGGAAAATCGTTCGGTTTATCATCGAGAATGTTTGATTCGATCAATCGTAAAACGAATCGTAAAGCGGGCCAGACACCGCTACGAAATCGGTGGATCCAGGACGCGTAATTAGTATACGCGATAGAGACGTTGATGGCAATCCGAGGGGGAGGCAAGTTTTATTTTCCGTTTCCTCCTCGGACCCGTTTTCAATTTGAATGCCGATTAATCTGACCGAATAATCTTACCGTATATTTCGCGCGGCCGCGTGTCCTCCCGATATTCGTTTGAGGGCATTTTTAAAAACTAAACGTTTCACTTTATCGTGAACGCGCAGCAATTAATAATAACACGCAATCGGGCGTATCTTTTATAACCTTTCGGAGTATAAATCGCGAAATTCTGGAATTATCAGGCAGCCAGGAATGAAAGGCTATTTCCGTCGCACGGAATCACGGGCAATATTTTACGTGGGATTGGGGTTGAACGCGGACACATCGACGTTTGATATTTTTATGCAGTGGCGCCACCGCGGAGAGATTTACGAGGCAGATATGCGATCACAAAATGTCCGACACTAAATCAAACATGTTGCATCGGAAAACATCAGAAATTATTATTGGGACTTTTATGGGATCGACGGGAGTGAAAGGAACGTACAATGTAACTCTCGACGAGGCCGTTTCATTGCCGAGTATCTTGCCGGCCATCTAACGCGGAGAATAAATCGTAATATATACATATACATATATATATATATATATATGTATATTAGGCCCCTTCCGCTCTTTTCATTCTACATCCGGTATAAGAAGCTGTTACAGCTACTTGTCGCACTGTTCAGTTGCTGCTACGAACAACGACAATAATACTTTTTTACCGACGAAATTAACACTCACGCGGATCTTTTCAGACAGACCAAGGCCACGTTATGTTACAAGTTTAAGATTTCTGGTATACCTTTGAATACGTCGTGAACTGAATGTACGACGTATAGACGAGTAAATATTAAAATGGTATTTTCGTGTTTAAGAGTATACACGTATTTATTATGGCCAATATAAATTTTGTCGTTACATTTTTTTTTTCCTCTGACAGAGGGGGGACTCCTCCATAAATTCTTAAATATATATATATATATATATATATATATTAAATCTTGTCAATACTCGTTAATCATTCTCAATAAAAAAATAAAACGAGATAAATTTTTTGGCTACTATCAATACTATAAATTCGTACTCAGCACGTGTATAATGCGAATGATTTATTAAGGGACTGTCTTTCCGCGCGTCATTAAAATTTGCGTGAAACAAAAGCTCGAGCGATATTTCATTTATAAATTGATGAAAATAAAAGCTCAACACGGCAAGAAACAAAATGTATTTTGTCAGAATTTCTAGCTCTTTTATTTAATATATTGAAACTAAAAACAATTTCCTTTGCGCGTTTTGATATACCGATACGAACATTCAACGCAAATTGGAGAGTTCAATGAATAAAAATAATTTCACGTGATTTCTTCGTCAAGACACTTCTTTGAAAACACAAGATAATAGCCTGAGAACTGTTGTTTCGACTTTGAAATTTACCTGTCGCATAATGTTTCCTTGCAGGTGAAAAATTAACTTTTCGACAAATAAAATTGGACTTTAATGTTTTACATTTCAAATTACATGACTCAAATTCTATTGAAATTAACTACATGGAACTAATAAAGTAATTTCATGTTACTATAAATATCTATTATCATTAGCATTAAAATATTATATCAGTATTATATTCAAATTAAACGTTAATGTACTGTCATTAGTATTCAACAGCGCGACATGCAAGAAAACCTATGCTGAATTAATAAATGAAACACAAACAAAAGAATGTTACTATTCACGGGCACAATAAATACCCGTGGTCGCCATACTCGTCAAAAATTCAACATAATACAACCAGTCACCCGTGTCGATTCAGATCTTTCATCCTACGACATGATTGAGTGATCAGGGGAACAAAAATGCATACGACTCACGATTAGATGCGAAGAACGTTGTCATCAATGTAATTGTGGTCTATGGAAAGTCATTGCGAAGCTTGTCATCAAGTATAAATAAATCGTCGAGTCCCATGGAAGGCTGGGAAAAATCTGCAAGCATAAAATTTAATTCAATTTAATTTATCCTTGACAGCGTTGATTATTTGAAGAGCTCGAATAAGAAAAAGGATACGTACATCCTTAGCTTCCTAAACGGCATTAGGATCCTTTCCAGGGGACAGGAAAAAGAGAAACCTGAAAAAATACGAATTATTGTAATTTGTTCTGAAAAACATGACGACTATTGTTGTACTATACTTGAGATAAAATATGAAACTCTCTACGAAACATTAATAACGTAAGGAACTTTAATAATAGATTTTAATAATAAAATCTAAATTCTGAATATTTGCTATTCGAATTTCAAATATATTTCAAATCAATTAAATGTTCTCTTTTATGTCAGTTGCAAATAAAGGCGTTTAAATCTATCCGTGATAGCATCCTCTTTCAAAAATAATGTTAATTATTGAGAAAGATTATCAATTTCAAATATAATACAAACTATTACAAATAATCAACAGGACGATCAAAAAAAAAAATATTTTAGTTTAAATTATAATAATATTCGACAAATTATTACACAACAACGTTAATACGTATGTGTGCAGTTAGTACGCAGTTAATAAACATACGTCTTAACGATTCGACGATCGACAACAAAATATCTCTCCAAGAGAGACAAGTTTAAACATGTAACCTGCGTCGTAAAATCAATTTTGAAGAGTGGGGGCACGACTGTACACAAAGACTAGTTCATTGGAAAAACAAATCGTTCTACGAAAATATCCTAAGCAACGAGAGTGCATCATATACCATATATGTCTTATTACACAAAACAGTTTTGAAATTACATTAGAACTATATACAAGAATCGAACCTTACAATTCGTGAGCCATTGTATGAAGAAATATATTCATTTCTCTTATTAACAAACGACTGAATTAAACAATGCTCACTGTTCTTGATAGACACGTTCGATAACGCGAAAAATAAATCTAAGAACTATTGATTGTAATCTTTACCTAACAGTTTCCGCATAATAGGTCCTTCTTGCTGCACTTCCCGCCAAAAACTGGCAGTTTTACGTTACGTGGCTGTGTCCTATGATAGATCGATTGCGAGAATTTATATCGATCGATTACAATTAACTATCGCAATATGTAATTGCATATTTCATCGTTGGCGCTGCATATAATCTTTACCTAGGTTAAGACAATTCGTTTTAACTTGAAACAAAAAATAAAAACCCTTTTTTCTAATTCTTAAACAATTGATTCAATAATAAAAATCTAATAGTTTTATTTTTTTCCAGACTTTAATCTTATGTAAAATAGTTGTGTCTTAATTTTAAATCTACGTGTGCTTAATATAGATGGCGTAAGGACTATTTTCAAGATACATGTACATGTTGAAAATTTCATTGAAAATGTTTATTTCATTCTGAGTAAATGATAGCGAATTATACAACTATCATAGCCTCTTAGGAACTATTACTAAAATTATAAAAATTTGAAAAAAATGAAATTCATAAAAATTTATTACCTCGATAAAATAAAATCTGTCATATCAGAGGTATTCTCGTATTACTAATGAAGGAACACAAGTTCCATCTTCCCTTCTCCGAAGACCCTTTCATTCTTTATCCTTAGAAGAAATAAAGCCAGTGTCGTAACAGTGGGATGATTAATATCCAGCTGACAGTTTCTGAAACGGGCAGCCAATAAACGGGATAAAAATACTGGTGAAAAATAGCGTGCTCATTAAGGGTACAGTGACATCTGCGACTGCTGCGTCGAAAGTCTTCAAGAAGTATGGAACCAGCTCTTGGACGAAGGGAAAAAGAAGACAGGTTTATTAAACTAATGGCGGATCATTTTAATATTCCAATGGGAACGCGTTGCATTCGCTGACTCGCGGAACTTAATAACTTCTTTGCCGATGATATTATTATCTCCTTCTTTAATCCTCGTGGAACTTGATAACTCTGTGCAATTACAGAAAAACATCAAATTAAAATAATAAAATTAAAAAAATAAAAAGAATTATATATAATTTTTTTCGAATATAACAATAAAGTGAACTTTCTGTGTCGTAAAATACAACTCGTAGTTTTAAGAAAATTTTAAATAAAATTACAAAATATATACATCACAGACGAGACATATACTAAAAAAGTTTTCTCTAATTAAATAATTTAATATTTCAATACACGTTTGAGAAAAAGTAATTTTTGTAAGTTTTCAAAGCAATACCTTTGGCACTTTTTAATCACTAAATTTTTTATTCACATTAATTTTTAGCTCAAAAAGAAAGAATGGCTTCGCAGATGGCGCTGATGTTTGAAGTCAACGTATACACGAGTTCAAAGTTACGTTTAGTTAATTAATGATATTTATTATACATTAATAAAACAAATATATCAATTACGTAATAATATATTAATGTATTAACTGTCGTATCTAGATTTTTCTTTTTTACTGGAAAAATGAGTGACGGTAAGTCAATTGTGACATTACGTAGCCATAACCTTTTACTACAAATTTTTCAATTTTATTCTGATACGATAAATTAAAATTTATTTGATTTACAGAAGAAGTAATACGCCGAAGATTACTGATTGACGGAGATGGAATTGGAGATGATCGTCGAATAAATATACTTCTAAAATCATTCATAAAATGGGCAAATAGTCCAGATGTAGACAACACTTTGCACGAAAGGATGTTGTCCCAACTTGCTCAGTGTGAATTTGCACAAAGAAAGTCCAGACTAGTCTCAAATATGAGTCAAGAAGAACTGAAGAGCTACGAACAGTTATCAAAGGAAATTGAAATTCAAATAGAAGAGGCTAAACAGGACATTGAAAAAACGAAAGCAGAATTGCAAGATGCTAAACGTGTTAGGAAAAATAGAATAGAATATGATGTACTAGCAAAAGTTATAAACGAGCAGCCAGATAGAGTAGAAACCAATTTAAAGCTTGCTACATTACGTGAAGAATTAGGCAAACTAAAGGTAGAAATATTGCATCGTAATAGTTAAGAAAGACTGTATTTTGTTACTGTTAAAGTTAAAGTTAAAATAATTTTTCTGATGTCTAGGAAAAGTCTGAACAATTGGAACACAAATTGGAAATGAGACGTAAACAATTCCACGTTTTAATATCTTCCATACATTCTTTACAAGGAATGTTAGATGAGTGTGATGAAATAATGGATGTAAGTTTAGAAAATTATGAAGACACAGATACTTCAACACCTATAAAAACTGAAACATCTTAAAACACAATTATTTTGTAAATATTTGTAATTTGTAATTAAATACCTTAATATTCCTTAATACCTTTCATTCCTTTTAAGTTCCCTTACAAATATTTTTAACTTATCAATATTAAACAATACAATGATAAAATTTCAAAAATAAATTATATACATGATTTACGTACAAAAAATATATTATCCAATTCTTAATTTTAATTTGCTAGTTTTTGGAACATGTCTAATAGTTAAAGATATTCTAGTCCCTCGTTTTAATGTTTCTCCTTCTGAAAATTTTTCTCCGCATATACTTAAGTTTTTTAACACAGACTTTGAAATAACATCGCTATCTTTTTCTGCAATTGAATGCATATAATTGTGATATAAATCTCCTTGAAGAATAAACAGACTCCTACGCTCTAATAAAAAACTGAATTCTAAAGTAGATTGATGTTGCTGAAACAAAATTTTATATGTAATTTACATAAAATATATACTATAATAATTTTATAATTATTATCACAACCTCAGTACTGTCAAGTCTTTTATAAAAATCTAGAAGTGTATGAGAGCCACAACTTATGGTTGTTACAATAGGATGAAAGAGTGGACCATCTGAATGTGCCTAATAAATATAGATTACTTGTATACTTCACATCTTATATATTTATGGATATATATTTTGTTTCTTAATTTGTAACTATACCATTATTCCTTGACCAGGCAGATATTCATTAATTAAAACATGATTAGGTAACTTGCTTTTCTCAAATATATCACATGCTGATACTTTATTTATATATTTTTGGAGCCACTGAAAACTTTCCATTAGTATAAAATATATACATACATATATTATTTAATTTTGATATTGTACAACACATTCTTCCACTGTAAGTACATCAATTACTGTACAATACTTACACCTGGTATTTTTTCAGCTATCATACCTTTCGGATGAGGTATACCACCCCAATTTTGTAATCTGCGATGACTTAATTGTGTCCATTTTGGTAAAGGAGCACCATTCACATATTTTACTATTTCATCTTCTTCTTCTTGTGTAATAAAATTTGGAATATAGACAGCTAAATCTGGTATCTGTAAAAAGATCACAAAATAATATTATTTTCAGTCAAACAAAACATAACCTTTAATAAATAAATTTAATATTGAAATGAACCTCTGGAATCACATTTTCACGAAAAATACGTTTATGTTCATTCATTTTTTAATGAATGACTTACTTAAAAAACTGTTTATAAAATATATAAATACTAATATATTATTATTGAAAAAGCAAATATATTTGAGCGCTAGATTTGTTCCTCTTCAAACCTGATATATACACTTGTGTGTAAATAAATTTCCTTTTTATCAAGAAATTCATATATCTGTAAAAACTTCCTTTAATTTATAATTCTTTATACATTACCGATATTATGTATTTACTTACATATATATATATATGTATAACGAAATTAATCGAGAAGCTTTTGTTCTTCAATTTTCAAAACTTCATACATATGAGAGAACCTACCCTTTTATGATAATCATAAGTGTTTAATAATTAAGTTGTATCGTTCCTAATCAATATTATACTCAATTACATAATAAATTAAGAGTTATTTTTCCTTCATAGAAATACAATATTTTATGCATGATATTAAAAGATGTCCTGTTAAATATGTAAATGCAAACGCTAGAAATTGCTTAGAAATGCGTTTGCGTAAAATCAATCTTATGGAAGGGAATACCTTCACACAACTGTATGTAAAACTCAACTCCTTAAATGTACAACGACATAAAACAATTTCTCCATCCTCATTATGTTAAATTTATCAATTTAAATACATAACGAAAAATGAACACGAATCAGACAAAAAATCAAATGGACAAGGAATTGAAACTTGTCCATCAGGTACGTGTATCCTTTGAATTTTACTACAGTATTAAAAATATTTGATTACCTACAAATTATTATTGATATTACTAAAATATTATTTAATTCAAACGTGCAAATTTTACAGTTCCTTATAGACCATGATTTTGAAAATACTGCCGATGCATTGATGGTAGAAGCAACAATAAAAGGTTTTAAACATTGTAAGAAAGATTTACAGATCGAGAGTGATATTTATGAAAATTATTATGAACAATTGATGTTCAGTTATAAAACAGGAGATTGGAGAACATTCTTCAATGTATGATAAAAATTGAATATATTATTATTAAATATAATAAAAAATATAATTTGTTGAGACTTTTCATTTTTAGCTATGGAATTTGATAATATCTGAAGATGTTAGACAAACAAAATCTTGTAAAATTTTGATGTTACATATATATGTATATTTTGCAATGTTGCCTAAACGCATGTCAATTTTACATTGGTATAAAGAAAAAGGTACATATATAATATACATAAAGTAAGTATGGAGTACATATTTTCAAAAAATTTAAAATAGTTTTTATTTTTCAACTTATTTATAGATGAAGTACAGACTATAGGTGAATCTATGACATCACATAGTCAACAAGATTTTGAATGTGAAGAGGTAATTTCAATCAGTGCTAAATCACTAATCTCTTTTCTAAATTTATATTATTTTTATTATGTTCTTATTTATATTTTTTTATAAGAACTTTAATTGTGAAATTGTCTTTTTTTTTAATTACAATATAGATTTTGCACAAAATTTTAAGACTATTAGTATAAATAACTAAACAGAAAATAAAATATATTTGTAATGACTGATTTAACATTAATAACATACAGAATTCTATGACTGAAACAGAGAAAAACATGAATGATAGTATGGAACAGTTACGTAACTTTCTAAACACAACAGGTAAAGAATTAGAAAAAGATAGTGATTTAAGACCCTATTTTGCATTACCTTTTATGGAGGATCCATATGCAGAACCGTTTCTTTCTAAAATATTTGAAAAAAGTTGGTCAAACAAACTGACAAATCATTTACAGCTATTTCTCAAAAAGTATAAACAACAAGTAAGTATAACAGACCACAAAAATGTGACTTAGAAAAAATAATTGACAATGTGTATGTACAATATTTCATAAAGAGTTTTAGTGATACAAAGTATAATGATGAAAATTCAAACAAATTTTCTTCAAGTTATACATCCTTATCAGAAGATCTTAAGAAAGATGTAATGACAAAAAAGACAATTAAGAACACTAATGTACCAATCATACCAAATGATAGAAACATTCCAATATTCCTAGAAAATGATGAACTTGAAGGACAATTTAATTTGTATGACAATATCAAATGTAGTCAAAAGTCAAAGTGAGAAACTTAATGTTTTTCTATTCAAATACTTTTTAACAATTTAAAGACTATTTTTCTATTGTTCTTTTTTTTTTGCAGAAGCATACAGACAGTATCAATAAATTCTTCAGAAGAAGATATGTGTTCGTCACATTTTACCAGGAAGAATAAAAAATTGATACAGTGCACTCAAGAATTGGCAGTAACAAAATCTCATTTATGCAGTGTTCATTCAAATTATGAAAAATTAAAAGTTAGGTTTCATAAACTGCACGCTGATTATCATAAATTGATGAGCATTGCAAGAATATTAACAACTGCTTTAGAAGATTCAGTAAAAGGACAAGCAATTGATTTCCAGGCTATGTTAGAAACTTGCATAAAAATTTTCCCAGATTTGTTTAATCAAAATATAAAAGACAGTTCACATGTAAGCAACGAGAATTTGATGTATATATTAATTTTATTTGTATAATATTATATGATATTTTATTTGTTTATTTTATAGTGTTCATCAGAATTATTGTTAGATAAATCTCATTCCAACATGAAAACCATTGAATATTCAAACTCATACAATGTATTTATTCCTCCAAAATTATTGGATTTCAAAAAAATCAAGTTACATCTGATTAACGGAAGTATTAAAACCAAATTATTCCTTTTACAAGCGCTAAGAAGAGTAAGACAAATTTTTATTTCTATAATATTAAGTATTTTTACTTATTTAAATAAGTATTTCCTTTTTTTTCCAGAAAATAACATTCAGTCAATCTGGAGAGAGAGATGAAACAGTGCATGAATATATAAGTAAAGATTTGTTAGGACTTCATAGTCAAATTGCCAGTTACAGAGGCAAATCTATACTACCATATTTATTAACTTCACAAAATATTATTATACCACATCCTTTACAACAATCAGTCGCAAGATTATTGAACGCATTGGCATCGTTTAGATGTGGAAGGGACTATTTATCATTTGATTCTACTGTCGTTGATATGGTATTGTAACAAAAATAAATTTTTATCATTATAGAACTAATGAAATAAATATTTTAGGTATTCAAGTGCCTGAATAGTATTTCTAATAATGATATAGACACATTGACTTGCAACATGATGATTGCAATGTTACAAAAGTTATCTTTACGTAAACAACAAAGAATTTATATGATAGAAAATGGGTTAGTGGAATGGTTGATCCATCATCTGTATGATCAGTGCCGTGTTATAGATTCTTATCGACTGGAATATGCTACAGCTCTTTTGATGAATTTGTCGCTACATCAAGTAGCTCAAAAAAGAGCGTCAGCTTTAGCGCCTTTACTTATTTCAACTTTAGTTGATTTACTTTTAATGGATCATATATCGGTATAATAAATTATTTATTTGTACTTTTTAAAGTTACAAATTATAGTATAGATATGTACATATATCTATAATGTATATTTATATCAGGCATTACCATACATTAATGGGGCCTTAAATAACTTCTTAACGAATCCTTCGATCAACGAAGAAGCAAGACGAATAAAATTTTCGTCTATAATAGAACAGTACAGTAAATACAAAACTGGAGAAATAAGGTAAAGCATTTCTTTACACATTAAAAATCAAGTTATATAAGATAAGACATTTAAATAAAATTAAAAAATATTTAATTAAATTGGAAACTAGGAAACACCTGGATCATATTCTAAAGATACATAGAGGTGAAATTACTATTAAAACGGAAGACGAAGATATGGCAGACAATGATAACGTGGGTAATGATTTATGAAATATTTTATATTGCGCTAAAAAAAAACTTTTTTCAGGAGGAATTTGATGTATTGGAAACTCAATTGGAAGAAAACGATCCAGTAAAGAATAATTACGGAGAATTGTGTGGAGAATCATTATTAGAATCATGTTATACAATTTTACCAAAAGCAATTAACAAAAACGAGATAATACCCGATGAATTATCATTTTCACAGAAATTTAAAACAGAAGCAACGAATTCTGCCATGCATAATAATCAAATTAAGAGTTTATCTTCTGAACGTGAATCGATGCAACATGAAGAGATTTTACCAAGGTATTACTAGCATCCCTTTTAATTTTATTGATTACCAACAAATTCAATAAAAAAATACAATTTTACCAATAAAATAAAAATTACTTTTTTTTTATCGAAATTATAAATTTCTTTCTAACATTTCAAGAAAATTGGCAAACAAAAAACCTAACGTGAAAACTAAAAATAATATTATAGTACTAAAAAATTCTGTTGAAAAGACAATGTTGTATCCAAAATCGCAGCCACGTGTAATCGAATTAAAGTATTCCTCGACAAAGGTATTTAACGAGCGGACAAAGATATTTAACCATCGAATCGAAACTTCAAATTCAAATCCATAATGTTTTTAAGGATCAGGAAATTTCGAAGTTGCAAATTGCAGAGAACAAAAAATGGAACTCGATGAATGATAAGAACTTATATACTTTTGTAAAAGAAACTCATAACGAGAGTGCCATGTATCTCTATGAAAATCATACTTCGAAGTTTGTTATATTTTACTCGGAGTAAGAGTCATACAACAAGATGATTAAATGAATTTTTTACAGAGCAAGCAGCAAAACGACGATAGCATCGATGCTTCTAGGAATCGAAAGCGAAGCTGAATCGACAGGTTGGTTAATCAATTTCGTTGAGACTGTCGTTTATTTAATTTCGTTGAGACTGATTTCACCTAATTAAAAAAAAAGTAGTATTTATTGCGCAATGAATCAGTTATAAATTTCTAAATATCCAATTACAAATTTCTCACCACGTTTGACAAGCAAGATTTACTATAAGCACATCACACGTAGTGAAAGCTTTATAACTTTCTCTTAAACATGTACTTGATCAAGATCTGAAAAAAAAAAAAATTGGAGCAAGTATACGAAAGCGATGCGACCACACTCGTCAGAGGATTTCTATAAAATAATTATATCTTATGAAATTATAATTTCAACGTTGCTTTTATATTTTTCAGTAATGGAGAAATTCAGCAGCATAGCGTCACTGTGAGTCGAGATTCTAATGTGATACAAACGCACCGTATGATTTTAAACTTAGTTTATATACGCACCGCATTGTATATTTTTTTTTTTATTAAAACTTTGAATCTTTTATACGCCACAGATTTTTGAATAAATTTCATATTTCGTTTGTCGTTATCAAGTTTCTTCTTTAAGAATATTCAGTTATTGTGCAAAATTGAAACTTTCTTGATAGGAACGCCGAGGATGGCAACAAAATTGCAAACGATAAAATCCCATGGACGCAAGAGACAATATCGGATACGGAAGAAGCATTTTTAGCAAAGCCAAAACTTGCACGAACTCCACCGTAATTAAAGTTAAATCTCAATGTAATAAAAATGGATGTATTCGCATCGTTTTTACAATAATTTTATTTTAAACGACAAGTATAAACAATGTTTAACATTAAAATTAAATACTTCATACAATAAATATATACAATAACGTAACGTAACGTACTTTCATCACGCTTGCCCAGCTCATTGAGAGCTTATCAATAATAACCAGAGTATGTACTGGCATATCCTGGCACATAGCTGCTGCTGCTCCGGTATCTTCTCAACAATGGGCCATCCGCGTAACTGTTACCGCTGAAGCTACTGTGTAATCCGGACATCGACGAATAACCAATTGGTGAACTGCTGTGATACAGGTTCATAATGCTTGGTTTACTTTTGTAACCACCAACAATCTTACTAAGGTACGAAGGTCCAGGATAAACTTGACTGGTAATACTGCTTGGCCTGGCTTCTTTAATCGTAGCCAGTTTCCCACCGCTTTTACCGTAATTATTAAGCAAGTGATCAATGTCTTGCTCCCTGGAGAGATAGTTCAAACCTGCAGTGGAGGTGTAATCACCCAGATACTTGTTATACTTGTATTTACCGGAACCATAGGCTGCTGCTGCAGCGCCTCGAACGTTGCTGAAAGGACTACTCCCAGAGTTGGAGAAGAACATGGAAGAGGGATAATCGCGGCTCATACTCCCGTGACTTCCTCGCACGTAGCGAGTTTCAGGATGCATCGAGTAGATCTCATTCACAAACTTGCTGCTGCTCCCTCCGAAAGCATTCTCCTTGTGCTTCCCGTACGAATAGTCGCCGTTGGTGGTGCCGAAGAAATTGGAGAAAGTTGGATCGACACTGTCCATGAATCCTGCGCTTTGAGACGTGTGGCCCCTGAAAGGATCTCCAGAATAGTCGCCTCTGAAGGTGGAAGCTTCTGTGCCCAGTTCCGGATAGTTTCCTGTACTAGTGGCACCGGCCACGTTATCGGAAAATCTCATGTAAGAAAGATTCTTGTGCCTGTTAGTGCCGGAGAGTTGATCGAAATCCGACGCAACTTGATCGCTGCCCTGCGTGTATGCTTCGAAAGTCGAATCCCCATTGTTGCTGTTGCTATTGTAATTGTCGAAACTGGACTGGGCAGCGTTGCTGGGGATGTAAGGGACCGAGGCGAGATTCTCGCGAGTGGCGGTACTACTAGTGTAACTACTAGGGAAACCAGCGTTGTGGGAACTCGGTGAGAATCCGGTGTAAGAGCTGCTTCTCAAACTTTCCTCGTGGCTCGCTTGGCCCCTGCTGTTGGTCAACGAGTGTCCACTATTTGCCCCACCGTAAAAGTCCATATTTTCTCTGTGGCCTTCTTTACTGGGTACGTAGGCACCGTTGATGATGTTGCTGTTGTACTCGAAGCCATTGCTCTCCCCGTTGATGGAATAGCCTCCACAAAGCAAGATTTTTTTTCTTTTTTTATTTGTATAAATAGAAGAGTTTTAAATGGAACAATTTCTTTATGATAGAAGCGAGATAGAAGAAAAATCACACTTAGGAAGAAGTACGTTTTCATGAAGAAGATACACATAAGATATACGTACTGTTAACCGGTGTTGCTGGTTCTGCGCGGGTTAGCAGGACGCAACCGAGGATCACTGTACTCTGAAAGTGGAACAGTCTCGCTATAAATTACGATCGTCCTCGAACGGAGGATCAATCTTCCTGTAAACTGTAAAAAACTGACAAAACCAATCTCTCCGATAGTAATTAGAAATACGATGATAATCGAAAATACAATTAAAAAAATCAATCCGGAGAAGAATCAACAAAACTATCTCGCCTGTGAACATCGAAATTAAGACAAAAAAAAAAATTGCGAGTAAAGTACAGCGAAATGGAATCACGATCGTCGAATTGAAAATTTCATTGGATCAAGCTCGAATGAAAATCGCCGCGATATCGGCAGAGATTGTCCTTGACAAACTAATTCGGTTACTCACGAGCGAAATGAAATTCGCCATGACAAAAGGAAGAGAAGAAGTCCAAGAGGGCTATCGCGGCTACTTTGACAGACCGAGTCTCTTAGGGCAAATTGAAACTACACACATACTGACACGCGAATCGGCTCCTTACCGTTTTATACTCCTAGGAATCCCTCCTCGCTCGCAAAAAGGTAAAAGCGATCTTGATGCGCACATACTGATAGGACATTGGTTGGTACCCGACCATACAGAGCAGGGAGAAAGAGTCAACCTGATTTAACTCTTCACTTTTACGGGGAAAGCAATGGGTCAGACCGCGTGCAACTGACTATTCAGTGAACTATGAGGAGCATGACCTACCTAGCGTAATTAGACTTTTTAATACATATAGAAAAGACTCTCTTTTTTTCCTCGAACTCAAAACCTCGACTCTGTGTTCATTTTTTTTTTTTTTTTTTCACCCTCCTATGGAACCAACCTTGGTATCTGAAAACAAAAATATAGCAAGTTGAAGTTGATCCTCCATTTTTTTCGAATCAATGTTCTTCCTTTTTTTTAAAAATTCAACGATAGAACGATTGACATTAATTAGGTCGTTAGTAAATAATTTCACTGCAATAAGCATGAAAATTATGCAGGGAGAAAAAAAAAGTAGAAATTTCGCCGAGAAACACGTAAATACTTTCTAAGTGTGTAAGTGATCGCACGAAGAGTACAGTTACGGAGTTAAATAGATTATTTAGCCCGAATGCGATTATAGTCATTGCGGCATCTCGGCAATCAACTGTCAATCGATAGCCTGCGACGTAGCGATAGCTTTTGTAAAAAATCTGCCCCCGATTTCTATGCATTATCATTGCCAAGGTTAACTGATATTTGTCACGGTGGGTGGATAACTTTCCTCCGGCGAGAAACGAAACGAGCGTTACGTCTTCCTTTGCACTGCAAATACCATAATTTCCAATAATGCTGCCCGTTGCATATTCAATATTATATGCTATTTATCCCTCAACTTTTTTTTTTTTTTGTTCGCGAACATTCACATCAAAACAATCGATCTATATTATAAATCTATGAAATTCTAAAATAAAGAATTATAAATATATACTATAAATATATGAAAAAATATAAATCTAAAGAATTATAAATATATACTATAAAATATATAATATATAAATCTATGAAATAATATATAAATCTATGAAAAAATATAATCTATGAAATAATATATAAATCTATGAAAAAATATAAATCTAAAGAATTATATGTACTATACTATAAATATATACTACAATATATTCTATAAATCTAAGGAATTATAAATATATACTATAATATATACTATAAATCTATGAAAAAATATAAATCTAAAGAATTATATGTACTATACTATAAATATATACTATAATATATACTATAAATCTAAAGAATTATATGTACTATACTATAAATATATACTACAATATATTCTATAAATCTAAAGAATTATAAATATATACTATAATATATACTATAAATCTATGAAAAAATATAAATCTAAAGAATTATATGTACTATACTATAAATATATACTGTAATATATACTATAAATATAAAGAATTATATGTACTATACTATAAATATATACTACAATATATTCTATAAATCTAAAGAATTATATGTACTATACTATAAATATATACTATAATATATACTATAAATCTAAAGAATTATAAATATATACTATAAAATATATAATATATAAATCTATGAAAAAAATATAATCTATGAAATAATATATAAATCTATGAAAAAATATAAATCTAAAGAATTATAAATATATACTATAAAATATATACTATAAATCCATGAAATCTATAATATATACTATAAATCTATGGAATTCAGAATTCGGACAAGTTTTCGAGTGCGAAAATACACAATTATTATGAATTTTCAAATTCAATGAATATTTCTTGTCCCCTTGGTCTTCGATTATGTTCTCAGTGCTGAGAGATTTAGCAACAAAAGATGGAAGAACATTTTTATTGATCACCGTGAGCTTAAATTCGGAGAAATTACTGAAAGTAATAGACATTTGGCAAAATCAAGGAGATCCTCTGTTTGCCACATATAGTAAGTAAAGTTGAATAATCGTTGCATAAGATTATTAGTGAACACAATGGTGGTCGAGTCGTTCGCACGCAAACGTTCATTGGGAACGAGATAGAAGAAGATGCACGGCAGAAACCAATGCATTTGCCTTCGATGAACAGTCGTTGAGAGAACGTTCAAGAACATCTTTCTCCAAGCAACGAAATTCGTAAACAATGGAAAGGACGTTTTACATCTCGCATAAAACGTACGAGTTTCTTGAATACCAATCGCTTTTTCCGTTTACGAAGAAGAAAGTTTCGCGAGGTTTTTCCTTTGGTGAATGAAAGGTGAATCCTGCTCGATGATATGAATCGGGATTGAATTCCACTCGAACGAGCGCCGATGGTATTAATATCTCGTGGCAAGAAATCGGGTCAGTATTTGACGACGATCGTGAGAAAATATTAACGAAACGTGTAATCGGCTTGATTAATTGTAAGCAAGGTGTTGAAATTGCAGATAAGTAGAAAACAACGTCGAGAGAAAGAGAGTAGATCGTCTTGATGATAACGTGCTAAATTCTAATAGAAGATTGATCCTCTCGCCGCAAACATCAATTATTATACAAACCGTGCTTCGACAAAGCGGACTTTCTCCCGTACGCGGTTTAATTTACATCAATTAGTAAACATCGAGTGGTACGTATCAGCCTGATAGTTGAAGAACAATCGGCGTGTAATTTTTAGCGATTAATAACGATAAAGGCCGATCACGTGAAGTCCAAGTCACGCTCTTCGAGTTTTCATGGCCTAATTTCGCTCTCGTTTCAACGAACCGGACGCTTTCGTTTCAATATTCAAAATCAGAGCAACAGGCTTTCTGTTCAATTTTCTTATGTAATTTATGCGCGGACTTTTTTGTGGCCACCGGTTTCCGGATGCTTTGGAAAAGTATTTCAACGTTTCACCAGCATACTATCTCCATTAAAATCCGATGACGATCATATTGACGAAGAGAAACGTGCCTTTTTTTTTTTTTTTTTTTTAATAAACTACACTTTACAGCACAGAGTTGAATCATCTGAGCAAGAATTATATCCTTTCTTCTCCGGTTTTAATTTCTTCTTCTTCTCCGTGGTTTTAATTTCCAACATCGAGAAAGAAAAATTTCGGATTGAAGACCCGTGACCCAGTGGTTATAGAGGCAGCGTATGTAGATCGCAGTACGATGCACGTACTGCGTTCTGACATGAAAACCGGAATGACACGGCTACATCCTTGTCATTATCCTTCGCGATGCTTTCTACTTTCCGCTTGTATACAAGCTTGTTCACTTGAAACGTATGTACCATCGACGATGCACGTACGTCGATCAGCTGAATTCCAATAGGTCAATGGCAATGACCTAGGATACCTCGAGCTCCGCTCATGAATTACAGATAATAAGACAGAGCAGCTATGCAGTTGCTATAGACAGACTGATGTAACATTTTATTTCTATATTTTTTTAAATATTTCTTTAATATTCAAAAAAATGTTCAAAAATTATATTTAATATTTAAAGTTATAAAAATATCTGAAATGTTTAGAAGAGTGAAAGTTACGGATCACATCACACGATCCTCTGCTCTAATAACGACTTCTACTCGTCGAAATTAAATTGCAATTGTAACATGCACACGCGTAAACGACCTGTTGACATAGTTTTCTATTCCCTGCGAAAAACACATGCCCCCCGATCGGCAAAATTGTCATTTTCTAAGAGGCCATTAAATGACCAAGGAATGGTAAAAGTCGTACAACGCGTAACAATGCGAGGCATCGGTACGACGCGAAGAAAGTAAAATGAAAATGGAAAGTGGGGACGGTAAACTAATTCCAAGCGGACGCTTCTTTGATGTCGTTGCATGTGGAACATCGTTTACCTTTTACAAGGCGTGTAACGAAACACGTGCGTGCCGTGCTGCGTATTCATTGTGCATCGTTGGGCGGGAAATTTAAACTTTTTTAAACGTTGTTGTTGTTTTTTTCGATCGTTAACTGTGAAAATACGATTGACATAAAAAAGACACGTAGTACGCGCGATAAATAAGGAATAATTAGGGTACGAGGTACAAGGTATAAACAGGCGTGTTACACTTTCGAGTTTGGAATGATTTCTGATGCGAAAGTAGCAAAGGTATGTGGTAATACCGGTTGCAGCCTCAGTTTCGCGCATCTTCGCACATACTTGGCATAACTGGACACGATGACAAGATAATTGGCAGTGCAACGGTAATCAGATGTTTTGGAACGTGATTTTGTGGTAAACGAGACAATTGTAACAATTGTAATTAACAATATCAGCCAAATTATTATAACCTGTGTATTCGATTCGTCTTCTCCTCTTTCCCGCGATCAAAATTGAATTCGTGCCAGTAACATTGTGCCGCGCATGCGCACAGTATCCTGGGAGAGTGCCAATTGAAAATATATTCAATCCTACGCGTGGTATCTTACTGGTGTGAGGAAATTTGATCGAATAACAATGTGACAAATCGTATTTTCTTGCGATGAGATCATATGGGAAACATGACCAATACCATCGATCGGGAAGATCCAAAATTCGATCGCGTATTTCCGTTTTGTTATCGTTGTATTCCGATTGCTTTGCCAATTGCGTTATCAAACGATAACAAACCGTTATTTTGAGATCGAACTGACGACCATGGCTTTTAGTAAGTACATACATTGATAAAATGTCAACACGTGAATTTTGTACGATTTGCTGTTCAATTGTAAAATGTTTAACCAAGATAGATTGACTAATATATACAGAGATTTCATGTACAATGCCATAATGTTCGAGATATTACCGGTTTCCATATTCGTTTTCCACAATGTTATTGAGTTAATTATTGTTTGATGTATTAAATTCTTATTGTAATTATGCCTGTTGTGAAAAATTCACACAATCTTTTGCGATTTTAAATTCCATCATCATTTAATTTATCATCTATTTTGTAAAAAATTGTGTGGATTAAATAAATAAAATTTACATTTTCATTAAATGGGATAAGTGTTTTAATCTATTAAAAACTAATGAGTATATAGAACAATAATCCTTTAAATACTGTGTTATAATATAAATTGCATGTTAGAACTAAGTATATTTAATAAAGAAATTAATCTTTTTCCAGTTAGAATTGTTACACCTGATAGTACAGAATACAGATATTTTCCTATCACAAGATCTAATATTAGACTGAGTGTGCAAGCTGCACACGATGCAAGAATTTCCTTACGTACACATTTAGGTGGAGATTCAAATATATATGAAGTATGTATATTTTACTAGAAGTATTAAGCACAGTAAAGTTGTGAAACATAAGTATAAATATATTCTATTCTATACTGGCAGATTATTATTGGAGGATGGAGAAACACAATATCAATGATAAAAAGGAATAATCAAGAACAAGGTGTGACAGCAACAGAAACAAGAAACATACTAAATGATCAGCACATGTGCAATATTTGGATTCAGTAAGGAACCAAACTGTAGGAAATTCTAAAGAAATTTTACTGTAATTAAGTCCAAGATGAACTGCAATTCAATGTAATGTACTTTTAGATGGTACTGTGATGGAACTTTACAAGTTGGCTATCAAAGTGGCGTAGTTTTTTTGTCATACAAAGACAAAAATCCGTTTGTTATAAATTACATAGGAGTAGGCACTGTGTGGGGTGCAACTGGTGAATTTCTGATAGAAGGTAAATTGATCAAATGACGTTTCAAGCTAATGAACATGTTCATTCTGTATACATTCTTTTTAGAATCGCCATATACATCTGTAGTTGTTAGACAACAAATGGTGGACACTTCTTATTGTTGGATAGATTATAATGAATTAGATGATTTTCCTCAAAATGCTGTAATGGCCTCGGAAGATGGTTTGTACATAGGTCGTGCTCATCACAGAGAGTCACTTACACCTGGTGGTATTAGGAATAATATATGTATAATTCCATGGGGTGGAGCTTCTCATGATAAAACGAATTTTCAAATATTTTGCGGTAAAGAAGTAAACTGGGTAAAATCATGGGAAGGCAGTGTTCCTTTATATGCTCTTCCTGCCGGTGAATCGGAAGACGGCTATGCTCTTTTTATAGGCAGAGTTCTACACGACGGTATATATCACGTAGGAAAGATACAACCGAATCATCAAGCATGTTATATACCCGTACATGGGCGCGAAGAACGTTATATAGATTATGAAACTTTGGTCGTTTGTGATCACTACGCCGCGGAATATGTTGGTAGATAAAACGTTCCTCTACGTGGAAAATAGTTATTTTTCATAAGTATTCAAAAGTATTTTTCAAAATATTTTTTTATATCGTAAATATGTAATTGTATCCCTAATTTAATAGGAAATTTAAAAGAAAACTAAAAATGTCATCATAACAGCTTTAAAGAATAATTACGTATTGCATATTTACTGAGAGATTAAGTTTTGTACTTGTACATACGTATTTATTCGTACTTTGTGCATTTGCATAATTACGGATATTATGTTCAACGTCTAATGGCTGTCATTTTAAATTCAAACATTTTTTTCGAATAATTGGCAAAATAACTAATAGATTATTTATGATTTTAAAAAATACACGATTTTTTGTAAGCATAAATATTGCAGATGATCAGAAATAAAATTACAAAATAAGAAAAAAGTTCTAAAAGTATTCTACATATTACATGTACATTGAAAATGATAATTTCCAACTAATGATAATTACACAATACGTAATAATTGTAATAATTATAAATACTATGTAATAAATGTGCTGGCACAACAAATATTATTTATTAAAAAAAATTTGTATTTTTCTGAAATTTATATATGTACGAATAAAATTGAATAAATTTGAATCTACTAGTGTAATTGATATTCCTCTATCAATTAAATAAATATGTAATATATCATTGTAATAAGTGATAAATGATATTTAATAAAAAAATTATGCTGAAGTATCTTCTACATACAATTTACATTCAGAGAAATACTTTGAATCAAATATGGCGCGCTTTTCAGTTTGATCAAGTTGCGCAATGAAAAAAACGCAATGCGCATAACATGTTTGAATCATTTTTTTCCGAAATTTGTTTGTTAAAAATATACAGGGATTGAATATTGAATAAATGTTATCAATTATTCAACAAGAGAAGTAAATATACAAATATAACTGTCTTTATTGAAAAAAAAAAAAATAAATCAAACTTACTGTATCTCCGTGCGTCCTTTGGAATTTTGCGGCACATCCTCTTATGTTTCGAAGTTTCCCTCGCAATCAACCAATAATCTGTATAAAAAAAAAGAACAAAATTTTCAAATACATATATAAACAAAAACAAATTATATAAAAATGAGATAACAATCAAATACTATTTTGAAAGCCTACATTTACTGATAATTATGAATCATCAGTAAATGTAACAACCAAAAAATGATCAAAGAAAAAGAAGTTAATGATAAATTGTAATAATATTCGGTAAATTATTAAATAAAAATGTACGCTAGTTAAACGTTGTTAACTGCGCCGTGAATGTGCACTATGAGAAAACAATAGTGAAAATGTTACGCAGTTAAACGGCACGCGAAGCGATATATCTCAACGCCACGATTTTTGACAATAGACTAATCCTCCAGCGCAACAGGTTCGCGTCGCAAAAAGATTTGGCGGGGATACGAACACGTATTATACAAAACATCATATTATGCGAAATATTTTGAAATTTAAACTAGCACTGTATTTGATGCGACTGTGTATATTCATAAAAGTATTCACTTTAGTCAATGACAAAGTCACTATACTTAGGGATATTTTTTGCTATTCGTGTTGTCTCTAATATCTCAATCTCGAATTTACTTTGAGTACTCTCTCTATATATCTCTCGAATCATAGTATTATTTTTTGTATCGCTTGATGCGCAAATGACACAGCAGTGAAAGTAATTGAATATTCATTGTTGTTCACATAATTCACATATACTAAACACGTCTGACGATATCTGTTTCGTATTAAATAACAGTTAACTGTATAAGACAGATCGAAGATGTTCAATCAAAGCGGAGGACTACAAACTGGCACGTCAACCACTTCCAATCCAATGCAAGATTACGAGGTTGTCTCTCCACCTGACGATTCTGTCTCCAGTCTCGCATTTAGTCCTGCTTGCATTCCACAAAATTTCCTCGTCGCTGGCTCTTGGGATTGCAATGTGCGCTGCTGGGAGGTTGAGCAATCTGGCAAAACTGTTCCTAAATCGATGCAATCCATGGCGGCTCCGGTTCTTGACGTTTGTTGGAGCGACGTAAGTTCATTGAACCTTTCATTTTTAACAAGATGTTAATATCTTATTCTTCGAGATAGGACGGAACAAAAGTATTTATGGCATCTTGCGACAAAACTGCAAAGTGTTGGGACTTAGCCTCGAATCAGAGTATTCAAGTGGCAGCACACGATGCACCTATTAAAACTTGTCACTGGATTAAAGCAAGCACATACTCATGTCTCATGACTGGTTCTTGGGACAAAACATTGAGAGTAGGTTTTTATATACATGTTGTTGGTAATTCTTTATTATATAATGTATGTGTTAGTAATGTTATGCTTTATAGTTTTGGGATCTGAGGAGTCCTAAACCAGCATTGATTATAAACTTGATTGAAAGATGCTACTGTGCAGATGTTGTATGTATATGGAATATTTATTCTTTATTACATCTGCAATAACAATTGGAAATTGTAACTAGTATTTAACTGTTACAGGATTATCCAATGGCAGTAGTGGGAACTGCTGGACGTGGGTTAATTGTTTATCAATTGGAAGGCAGTCCTCGAGAATACAAATCAGTAGAACTGAATCTAAAATATCAGTATCGATGCGTCGCGATTTTTAGAGATAAGAAGAAAGTACCTACTGGTTTTGCAATTGGCAGTACGGAGGGTCGTGTAGCGATACACCATCTGAATTTAAGTTCAAAGGAAAATTTCACATTCAAGTGTCACAGAACAAATGGAACCCCTAATGGATACCAAGACATTTATGCAGTCAGTATGAATTTAATTAAGTTAGTCCATAAATTATTCAATATTCATTTTAATATATAACAGATCTAATTTTTTTAATGCTTAGGTAAATGATATTGCATTCCATCCAGTTCATGGTACTGTTGCAACTGTCGGAGGTGACGGTACGTTTGGATTTTGGGACAAAGATGCAAGAACTAAATTGAAATCTTCAGAACCTATGGAGCAACCAATTACTCGGTGTTGCTTTAATCACAATGGACAAATATTTGCATATGCTGTGTCGTACGATTGGTCAAAAGTAGTTATTAATCTTTCTACACAATTAAATTTTACATAATCAAATGAATATCTTCTTATTTCATATACATAAAATGAAAATATTTATTCTATTTCAGGGCCACGAGTATTATAATCCAGCGAAAAAGAACTCCATATTTCTTAGACCCTGCTTCGAAGAATTAAAACCTAAAGCGTCGCCATAAGACCAGAAGGACAAGTTTCTGAATTCTGTGATGTTTTAAGATAATAGGTTTTATAATTACAGAAGATACGTTTACATTAATAAATTATAGTTTTCCTATCTTCTTTTTAGTTATACAAGTTTTCCACTGTTACGTCATTATAATACATTGTAAATAGCTTCGATATACAATACAATTGTAGTTTACATTTTTCATCATATATATATTTGACTATTTTTCACACAAGCTCATTGTACAAAGATGTATATACATACGAGAAGAGTCTTGTTCTTTTTTCACGAGTATAGAAATGTAAAAAAATAATTCCGATAAAAACTCTTACAATATCTTGAAACTGACACAAAAATTAAACTATTTCCTTGATTAGTTAGTACTCTTTTAAAATAAAAAAATATTAATGCATTTTGATTTTTTAAATAAATATTAGTATTATCAATTTTAAAGACAATTTGTTAAAATTCGACAAAATAAAATTTTTTGGCTTTTAAATGTTTTTCTACTAAATTGAGTTGTACATTAATAGCAAAAACTGAATTTATACTTCTATTGTTCATATAACATTTTCTACCTTAGAAAGGAAAAAAATGATCGAAAAAGAAATACTCTCTTTCAAAGAGGAAATATCTTTCCCAAAACGAGTTGAATTTTTCCATACTACTTCATTTTCGATCAAAATGACTCTTATGGTAACTTTTATATTTTATATATGTATAATTACGTAATTTAACGTTTATTAAAGTGCTATGCTATTAAGGTATCTTCTTGAGTAATTTAAAAAAAAGAGAGGCAATCGTTTTATAAGAAATACAACATTTAGTTTATTTTGCGAATTCCTAAGCAATAACTCCCTAACAATACCGCGAAGAAGAATCCGGTGGATCTATGCTTTCCTCAACGTATATTGTCCTATTCGATGTGTTTACAAAAATTAACATCTGCTCGATTGCGAGTCTCGTTACACGCGTTCTTCCCAGAGAAGAAGCGTTTGGAAATTGAAATTGATCAAAGGAAGTTCAAGGATATTTAAAGTTTGGAGAATTGGGCGAATTGGACGTGATTTTGCGCTATATATCCAGAGGAAAAAGTAAAGAAAAAGGAAAAAAAAAAACGTTACATGACTTCCTTTTTAACATCACATTTCTCAAATGATTAATATTAAAACGATATTAATTAATGATTATTACTATCGATTAAGAATTAGATAATATAATTATTAATACTAATAGTGTACAACCATACGTTATTTTTTTTTCTTGTGGGCGTTAAGGATATAACATCGTGAAATGGTTTTTTTTCTCATATTTAGGCTCGTGTCTAATCGGTTTCTTGAATAATATTACTCTCTGTTTCACATTCGCTCATTTTACATACACCCATTCACACACTTACATATAACACGGTTCTTTTTCTTTCTTTTTGTTCTTTTTTTTTCCTTGTCTCGCGTACAGATCCATGTATTCTAGATTTCTGGCAGCTTTCTTTCACACATAATATGAGGAAATAAACACACTCGAAATACAGGCACACTTCTCCATCACTTTTCCATTTGCCTTTTCTCGTCATGGCAACAATTCGTTTGTTTTTCCTTTCCTACCCCCATATCTGAATTCTGCTTCAAGAGCAGCTAAAGCGGCTTCAAGTCGCAATTATATTACATATTTATTTCAGCCCGCTGCATCCTCTCTTTTTTCACTTTTTCAACGATGAATTACATTCAATTCTTATCCGTTATCTCTTAACTGTTAAGATCCTTAACTAAAGTCCGATTTTTTTTTAAGTCTTTCCTTTCATCAGGAATTATCATTAAGCTCTGCATCTCTCTTTTTTTCTTTTTTTTCTTTTTTTAAGATTGTTCAACAAAATAAACTCTAGCGACGAATCATCAGTAATTACATCGTTAATTTTACGTATATACATACGCCTTCAGTTTTAATATGTATATAGCGGAGTAAAAATTTATATACTAAATCTTGAGCGAAGATCAATCGGTACTTTTATAATTATTTTATCGATGTTTTAATTATTTTTCTCTTTGTTATTCATTTGCTTGTATTGTTTTTTTTTTTTTTTTTTTTTTTTTTTTTTTTTTTTTTTTTTTT